GGGTGTTCCCTTTGGGGTGGCGTAATGCACACTCTAGCTTCATTATCCTGCAAGTCTTTGGCGATCGGGTTTTACGCCACCAAGCCTTTGATGTCATTGTATTGTTTTGACTCTTTGGCCATTTGACCAGGGTGAACATTCGCCGAGGCACCCAAAATGTCAAGTTTGGCGCAATGGCTTTGCTGATGTGCTCATGCCACAATCTGAAAAGGGACAAGCATCTCATGATGCCTCCCCTTTGGGACTTGTTCCTCTCAGGTTGTGTGTTTGATTCATTGTTGCCCTTCTGGGTTCCCCCTGGCCACAAGAAACATGCCTTGCGAAGGGCTCGAAGGGGTCGACTCCGCTGACCCCTCGGACCCCTCGGACTCCCAAAGTCCGGGCCTCAGAAATTTCGAGCTGCGCAGTTGACGTCCACCGCGAAGGGGAGGCTCCGGACTCAACCCCCTTTTCTTTTTGTGCAACGTCCAAATGAGGAAAGCCTGTCTGAACCCAACCCCAGCAGGCGCCGGACCAGGCTACCCAGGGAAGTCAAAGAGATTCCTGTGATGTACTCTGAACTTGCCGAGGCAAGAGAAGACGAAATTGGAAGGGAGTGTTTCCAAGTAACCCGTGAACAGCCAAGCACCTGCCTGCCTCTCTGTTCAGTAGTGGTTTGCTTTCTTCGTGGCCTGCTCTCAGCAAAGTTGCTATGAGTCGAGGACCTTTGAAACTTTGGCTGGCCACTGTCACGTTTGGTTTCCTTGTGAAGCTGTTCACAAGCAGGATTCTTTGCTCGTTTGTGTTCTTCGGTGCCCCTACAGTGCACCATGTAGCAAAAGTGTCCTGGGTTGCTGCGCAGCCCGGTATTCCAATCTGCGATTGCAGAAGTTTGTTTGCCTGCGTGATCGCAACAATGAATTAAGAGCGATGTCTACGTTCACGTTCAAAACCCCCTTGCTGGGGCACCCTCGTGTTCATGCTTGCATTCGTTGACACGGGGCAGCCATGATTACATCAAGGTATTCAATAGCAAATTCAGGAGCACCCACCGGACACCAATTTGAAAAGAGAAAAAAAGCAAATAGAGCGATCAGCGGTCTCCAATCCGGCTTGAGATTTTGTTGACCAAAAGGCGTCCGGATGTTCCTGTCTACTGAAGGAAGGTCGCAGTCTTGCCGCTCACGGCTCCGCTTGAGGAGAGCTTCGCTGAGCGACTCCAGGCCATGGCCAATCGCTGATCCGGTCGGGGAAGTTGGAGCTGGGTGAAGTGTCGGGGAGTTTGTGAAAATTTGACCATGGCATGGCGATCAATGAAACTCTTGCAAGACGCAAGATTACCCAGTGGCCTGGTGGCTACTTGCGGGACTCGTACCAACTCAAGCAGCATGTTGCAGGCCCCTAAGACACTGGCAGCAAGCCTCAATGGAGTTGCATCCATGGCCCCGTGGAAGTATCCCTGGGCAGGGCTCAGCTAGAGCATTGCCCGGCTGAAGTATGAAATGCAGCCATAGTAGCATGGGTTGGGTGCTGGGCCATCAGGCCTTGCGTGCGACATCCCTGTATTGCAAACATGGCCATTTTATTTAGCTAAACTACTCGTACCCCTTGCCAGCGGCAAGCACGTGCGTTTGCGCATGCCCACTTCGTTGCATTGGACCCATGCTTGCCCTTCTCAGCCAGACTCAGGTATTGTGATGTACTGTGAGCTGGGGTGACCTTTTGAATAGTTCGACTTTCGCAACAGGTGTCTGCTCCTTTACTGTAATTTACTGTGGGCGACCATCAGGAGTTTTAAGGGCCCAGCCCATGCCAGAAGTTGTCGTCCGCAGTGATGTCATGGCTCAAGTGCCATGGCATGGAGGCCAGCACATGCTGCTGAGCTGCACTAATTAGTGTGCTCACGGGCTGGAGCTAGTAGCAACTGCTGGCTTGAGCCTGGACCCAATTGGAACTACTTTTGGAACACCTTTCTGAGCCATGCTGGCACACTGCCAGTTTCACGCCAAGACACAAACGACTCCCACTTTCCCATCATTTTCCCAGGCCGGCCTTCGACGCAAGCCTGGGCGGAGAGCGACCAGGCGTGGTGGGACTGGGCGTCAGCTGCTTTTGCGGCGCCAAGCCGTCACCACTGGTCAAGATTTTGTGAGTTTGATTGGCAGCCCTACGATTCCACCTTAGGGCAAACGATCTCTGCGATCCGGTCGCCGTGAGGGATTTGTGCCATTCCATGTTGTGCACGTTGCTTTGAGGGAGCTAAATGACTTGCGTTTGCGGCGTCCCTTCGGTACCACCCTTGCTGAGATCAGGATAGCAAAGGCTGGCCACACCTCAATTTGTTTGATTGCTGCCCATTTGCTGGCACAAAGTCTGGAGCACGGGCAGACCCGTTCGGACACTGCAACCCAGAATTGTGTTTGTCGTGGTTACCCCCACCCCTCGATTATGATGACGATGATGACCACCATGCCAAGAAAGTCCGGCAGAGCTGGGCGGCGGAAGTTTCAGGCTTTGTGCTACCCCGCGTCAAACTCATGAGCCTTTAGAACTGCCCTGACCTGGTGCAGTGCTAGCTAGTGCGGCATGTGCAGAGTCGCAACTGTGCCCTGTGGTTGCATTGCAGCATTGGGACAGCAGGGTTTTTTGAGACTCGTGCCGAGATTTATGGAGGGCCGTTTCATGTTTCAATTTCAGCTGTACAAAAAACAAGGTTGACTCTTTGGCGTGCCTGGATCCCAGGCCTTTCTTCACTTTACAGGCATGGAAGGCGGTTGCTGGACAGAATGCACTGTTGAGGCCTCTGGCAACATTGTTTGAGTCTCGGAGCCGACGCAAAGAAATGCCTTTGAAGCCACAGACCCATGGCACAGGTGCATAGCTTCGCTCTCCCCGGCTGCGCATCAGAAGATGCCCAGGCGGAGAAGATCGTAGAAGCTTTGGAGGAAGCCTATCACTGCATCCCAACAATAGCAAAGATTGCTTGACGCCCTTCACGTGGTGTAGAGCTTGTCTTTTTCGGGGAGGGGGGATATCCAGATTGATATATTGCTTTGTAACACAAAAAGACGTTGAACACTTTGTTTGCGGCCAAAACGGTGCTTGCTCCTTTCTTGGACAACTCATTTTTTTCTTTGCTCGATCCGACTTTCTCAAATACGGTTCCTAAAAGTCTAGATTTATCGACGCGCAGGTTTTCCTCAAAGCTGGGAAGCCACCTAATGGCCAAGTATCCAAAAAGGGCTTTCCCCGGATGGACCCAGCCTTCAAGAACGCATTGTTCGGTGAGGGTGGTCAGCCTCAAGGTGGCCAAGTTTGCGGAACGGGAGCTGAAACAAGCTCAGGTGATATCCCCAACAGCATGCCGTGCTCGTTTTAGTGCTCGCACCACCGCAGAACCTCGTCGAACCCTGGTGGAACCCTAGTGGAACCCTGGTGGAACCTTCGTGGAACCCTCGTGGAACCTTACCTCAGGGCCGCCCCGCACCACCCCGGAGCCTATCTGGGCTGAGACCCCAAAGCTTTCAGCTGTTGGGGAAAAAACATCTGCAAGTGTACGGAGGGCATGGCGCAGGGAGGCAGTTCGCGCCTTGTGCTCTCGAAAGGTCCGAGGCTCACAGCTTGCTTCAGGTGATGGCAAAGACTTTGCTGTACCTGAACCCCGTGAAAGTCCCTGTTCTGGGCTGGGCTTACCTACGCCGACAGGGGCATGCAACTTCAGGTGGCTTCTCACTTGGACTTGTTTGTCCCACACTGGGTTGTCAGCCTGCCGCAGGTGTCACCTCTTCGTGTAGGAAAAGAGCTATCGCAGACACTGCAAGAGCATCAGGCGCTGCTTTTCCACTCGAGACCGGTTTCGCGATTTCCTCGGGGGTTGCAGTGCGGCATGCAGATTTGCATGGCAGGGATAGCAAAATCAAGTGCAGGTGAGCCAAAGTGAGCAACTATTGCGCCCTGGCTGCATGCGCAGCAAACCTGAGGTGATTGGCTTGGGCTGTTGCAATTGCCAATGGAAGAGGGGCGCAACCTTAGTCTGATGATTGAATTATAGGCGAGCACCTGCATGGTCAGACCGATTGGTCGGATCACATGATGTCGCGTTGCGAGTTTGGCGAACAGACACGTGACCGAGGCAATGGATAGCGCGAGAGGAGGCTCGAGCGATAGAGGCAGGACACCATCAATTGAAGCACTCAGCCAACTTCACACTTTGTGTCCACGGGTGTTTGCGGCCAGCTTCCGCCAAGATGTTTTTGCGCTCAGCTTTCAGGTAAGAATGCACCACACGCTTGTTTGCACCTTCTTCTCTCTTTTTTTTGGTGGCATTGCTTGTGCTGTGTTGCGAGCCATCCCTCCACCTGAAACGCGAATCACAGGCGTGAGGTACATCATGGAGTGTTATTTGTTCAATTCTGAGTCCCATCATTAAATCGGAAATCAAACCGTGCGCTAAGCAAATCGCTTGTTTTTGTTGAGGCCTTGCTTTGGGACCAACTTGTATCAGACAAGTTTGACAAAACGCGGGTTTGGCTACATGGAAGTTCTCCCTTCCCCAGCCATGAGCCACAAGCAGACTGCGATGGAACCTGAAGAGAAAACCGTATCCCGCCCCATGAGGTATGGTGCATATAAAGCTCTTTTTGTTCTCGATGCCAGGGCCAGATGCTGCTGGAACAACTGGTGAGGGACTCTTTGAGCATGGCGTCTCCTGGCGGCCTCCCGCCAATGGTGGACAGCAGCCTCGGCAAATCAGATCCTGTCGGCCCCCAGGGACATATAAGTTGAAGGCTCCAAGTTTGCAGCACAGCTATTTTGTTGAATTGGAACAAAGGGAAGGCCACTAAACCATACTTGGGTTTTGGCAACGATTGGAAGGTTCTGTCAGCCAGCTGCCTGAGAGCCAGCAAGCTTACAGCATGTTGAATACGTATTCATGGTTTTTGAGACTGGCCTGTGGTTACCAATGTGGACCCATGCTGTGTGAGAGGAAGCATGCCGTGCGTTGCTCTAATTGCTTGGTTGACACGCTCGTGAAGACGTTGCCACACATCATGGAAAGGTGTGGGCTCAGGGTCGTGCAAGCGGTGCTGCCTTTGCCACCACCCACTTTGAAGTTGTCAAGCACAGGCAGCGTATCCTTCATGCGACTATTCAACTTGATTTTGCTAGACTAGATGTGGGCATGAAGGTTCCTGGAAGCTCCATGCAAGGTGATGCTTGTGTTTGTTAAATGTTGCCACGACTTCCTAATGAGTAAGCATTTATTTACCACACGCCTTGATTCTTTGAGCCGCAGCTGGGCTGAGTGGCTTGCGGAAAGGGCTTCGGTCCCATGGCGGCCATGGCGGCAGGGCAGATCAAGGCGCCAGTGCAGGCCTTCAACAGGGTGGGCACCGAGACTATGCTTACAGACATCTGGGAGACCCCGGATGCCTGGCAGAAAGGAGCCTAGCATTTTCGCAGCTTTGGCTTGCAGCATTACTTTCTTTTTCTTCGCTCAACGGATCGTTGTGGCAGTAGAAACTCAAAGTGACTTGGATTTCCAATTCCGGGGCAACAAGCTAAGAAGCGGAGCAGCAGGCATAGAACATTGCTTGTGTTCATTCTCTTGTTTGTTTGGGGGCCAGAATTCTGAAGGGATGGCGGCTGAACACGGAGCATTGACCGTCCAACAGTAGCTGGGTCAACCGTGATCATTTGCCGCTGCATACTAGCTTGTGGCCAAGTAGCTCCAGTTGTTGACTCAAGACCTCCAGCAAAAAGAAAATCGGGCTTTGCACCTTGCGAAAGCCTTGTCGACTCGTTGCCTAGTGCTAGTGCTTCTTTCGTATTGCAGTGGCTGTGCGTTACTGCAAGCAAGCTAAGAGCAACGCCTCGCCGCGTCCGTTGGCTCCCCTCTAGGCATTCTAAGCGAGGGGCCTGCAGGTTGTCTTTTGACTTGACAAGTATTCTGGGCGGAACTTCAAGCCTGTCATCTCATGTTGGTCTCCTGAGGATGTGCTTCGGAAGCTACTGCAAGCCCATCTGAAAGGCACGTGACAAACTCTATTCGTTCACCACGCTGGGAGGGTAATCCAAGTCATCCACAGTGCGGCAATTTTGCTGGCTTGCTTGCTGGCTTGCTTGCTGTTTTGCTCGCTGCTTTGCTGGCCCCATGGGCAAGGGATCCTGGATGCCTAAATCCTTGGATGGATCGACGGACAGACGGATGCATCATGGATGTATGTAGGGATGAACGGGAGCGGTGGTCGGACCTTAGTTTTCGTTGTTGGTTGCTTGTTTGGCGGCTCTTGTTGAAAGGCGTCAATCTTCCATCTTCCGCTAGCTTTTCATGCAGGGAAAGGGACCTTTGAAGGCAGCAGCGTGGAGATCCCGGGGCTGCGCGCGGCGCTGCCAGCGGGCCACGGGTTGGCAGGTCAGACGCCGCTGGAGCTCATGGCCAAGGCGTCCCAGGCTCGGATGGCGGAGGCCTTCAGCAACAGGCAGGGTTCAGGGAAGGCAAAGCGAGGTTTGGGCAACGACGCCAGCTGGCTGGGGCACTTCCATGCCTGAGGAAGAACTGTTTCTCATGCACCCGAAACAGAACGGCTCTTGTTTGCTCAGCCAAGGCTTGACCAATACTCAAGCCGATGCTAAGAAAAGCTGGACTCCTTTGCGTGAAGCTAGGTCGTTCTTGTACGACACTTTGATTGAACAAGAAGGTTTACCAAGCTGGCAGCTGGACCCCCTCAGCCGTATTGAAGTGGGCCCATCTCAATGATGAGAACTGCCCTGGTCAGCCAAATGGCTGCAATGCCCCTGCTCGAACAGGTTGAGGTGTGGGTTTCAGCGGGTCTTGAATTGAAACAGTTCCCACGTGGTTCTAAACCCTTTTGACCTGGATCATTGCTGCATTTGGAGTAGGGTAAACTCAAACAATTGTGATGTTGGGGAGGTCGCTGCTGTTGACGAGTTTGCCTTCCTTACGGCCTTGCAAAATGGAAACGCCATGGGATCAGGACGCTTGTCGATCAGCGGGGGCATTTGTTCTTAAAGCTGGCAAAGGGGTCAAGCACAAAGCTGACAAACGCAAGAGTGCTGATTATTGATCGTCAACCGCAATGTTCACACCCGAATCCGTAGTACAGGGTTGCCAGCAGTGCTCACTTGTGTTGCCTTATTCTGGCCGATATTCGGCCGATGGTGCGGTTTGCTTCTGCTTGAGCTGCTCACATGCTGTTGCAGGATCCTGGTGATTGGCTCGGGTACATCCTGGCATGCAGCACTACTTTCAGAGTACCTAATTGAAGTTTGGTGGAGAATTGCAAGCTATTTTTCTTTGCTCTTTGCTGTTGCTCGATGTGTTACTATTTTTGTTTGTTTTGTGGGGCAGTCAGTGGTGTTTGCTTTGTGCTGATCTGTTGAGCTGACAGCAAGAGATTTGGGGCATCGAGGAATACATGGCGAGGATACCGGTCGAGGCACACTACGCCTCCGAGTTTAGATATCGCCAGCCGACGTTGCGTGCGGGCGACGTGGTCTTTGTGGTCTCCATGTCCGGCGAAACAACTGATGCAGTGGAAAGCCTCCGTGAGGTACGCAAGGGACCTCAGGGCAACAAGCTGCTCACAGCCGCCGTGGTGAACAACCCATCTTCTACCTTGGCCAAGGACCGGCCAAATTTGGAGCCAAAGTCAAGGGTTTCGCACAAAATGCATATATGGGTTTGTCCTTTTTTTGTGTGTTGAGTTGCTTCAAAAGGCAGAAGGTGGGACCTCCCCGAATCATACCCCCGAATCATACCCCGAATCATACCCCCGAATCATACCCCTTAAAACGTATGCTGCAAGATGCTACTGTTCTTCTACCGTTTTGTGTTGTTCACTGTCTCCACAACAACCACCACCAGCGCTACCCAATACTACCACTACCACTGCCACTGCCACTACTACTACTACTACTACTACTACTACTACTACTACTACTACTACTACTACTACTACTACTACTACTACTACTACTACTACTACTACTACTACTACTACTACTACTACTACTACTACTACTACTACTACTACTACTACTACTACTACTACTACTACTACTACTACTACTACTACTACTACTACTACTACTACTACTACTACTACTACTACTACTACTACTACTACTACTACTACTACTACTACTACTACGACTACAACTACTACTACTACTACTACTACTACTACTACTACTACTACTACTACTATTCCTGCTTCTGCTGCTGCTACTACTCAGTACTACCACATACATCATTCTGAGTCTGTAATCAGTGCTGTTTTGCACCTAGTCGAATCATACCCGCGAATCATACCCGAATCATAGCCGGACAATGAGAGCTTCCCGTGCCAAGGCTAGTGCTAAGTCTTTTTCACAGCGTCCGCACCACTACAGCCGCTGCTGCTTATGCTACAGCTGCTGCCACTACTTCTGCAACTGCTACTACTACTACTACCACAGCTACTACAAGTTTGTAATCAGTGCCGTTTTTGCACCTAGCCGAATCATACCCGCGAATCATACCCGAATCATACCCGCGCAACGAACTTGCCTTGCCAAGGCCAGCGCCAAGTCTTTTTAAAGCTTCCGCGCCACCACAGTCGCTGCTTCTACTGTTACTACTACTACTGCTACTGCTACTACTACTACTACGACTACTAGTACTAGTACTACTACTACTAATCCCTTCCCCCTAATAATAAACGACGCCCCCCCCCCCCTAATAAAAAAATACCCGGCCTGCAAAACAATTTTTATTATTAGGGGTCCCCTGGTTCTGGAGGGCAGGTTTTGGAGGGCAGGTTCTCAAAGGAAACGTGCTCCCGGAGCTCTGGCTCGAAAGTCGCAACTTTGTAGTACAGCCGTAGTAAAGGAAACGTGCTCCCGGAGCTCTGGCTCGAAAGTCGCAACTTTGTAGTACAACCGTAGTAAAGGAAACGTGCTCCCGGAGCTCTGGCTCGAAAGTCGCAACTTTGTAGTACAACCGTAGTAAAGGAAACGTGCTCCCGGAGCTCTGGCTCGAAAGTCGCAACTTTGTAGTACAACCGTAGTAAAGGAAACGTGCTCCCGGAGCTCTGGCTCGAAAGTCGCAACTTTGTAGTACAGCCGTAGTAAAGGAAACGTGCCCCCGGGGTCCCCCTAATGGGGCTGGATTTGAGTACGGGCAGGAAAATATCTACTTTAGAATTGGTTTAGTATTGGCTATTCTAAAAGTAGTATTCCCGGATTTGGGACTTCCGAAACAAATATTTATTATTAGGGAGACCTTTATTAATAGGGGGAACGGATTACTACTACTGCTGCTGCTGCTGCTGCTACTACTACTACTACTACTACTAACCTACTACTACTACTACTACTACTACTACTACTGCTACTACTACTACTACTATTGTTACTACTACAACATTACTACTAGTACTACTACTTCGGCGACTACTGCTACTACTACTACTACTGCTGCTTCTGCTTCCGCGAATCATACCCTCGAATCATACCCCGAATCATACCCGCGAATCATACCTGCGAATCATACCCCGTACTCAAACCTTCCCGCCCGGCCACCCTAAAAAAATACAAGCCCATAATTATATATATATATGTATATTTCTCGCTGCTGAGCACGCCTCATGCCATGTCCCTCCTTTGTGATTTCGAGACCCAGGTGAGTAAGAGGAGGTACGCGTTAATTGGCCTTGCTGGATGCTGCTTTCCGGTTTGAGCCGCTGATTTTCTCAGGGAGCGTTGACAAAGGGGGAATTTGGACCCTTAGTGCAGCAGCTGTGGAATGATTCATGTGGTTCTACGGTGGCCACTGGCCACGGGAACAGTGTATGCGAAGGCACCGGCAAAAAGAAGAACAGTCCCCTCCAGTTTGACTGTTGCCCGCACCCACCGGAAGGAATGCGACTTCGTGATCGATGTTCAAGCTGGCCCAGAGATTGGCGTCGCTGCCACAAAGAGTTTCTCTGCCACAGGTGGGGCCAGCCAAGTTGATTCGGTTGATGGAGCCGGCCTACAAACTGCAAGCCCAATCGTGAAACTCGCTTTTGCTCGGGGGGGTGGTGGAGAATTTAGACAGGCACGAAGAAGTGGTCCCAACCATGGCATGCACCTTTCCGCGTTGCAATCATGGCTCCACATAAAAGAACACTGGAGATAGTCCCCAGAAACTTGCCTGGAGTGGGTCGGCCGTGGTTGCCAGGAGCAAGGAACAGAGTCGATTGAAAGCATTGATTTGACCATTGATTTACTAGCCTAAGTGATGGCAAGTCACCGCAGAGAGTGCCCGTTAGGACCACTAAATTCTTGTAGCTCCATACTGTTGAAGGCACTACTGACTGCAACCTCCCTGTTCAGGCTTCATGTTTGAGCTGCTGAGCCTGGCACTTGCAAGGGAGTGCGGCACCATGGGTGAGGCCGAGATGTCAGAGTTTGCCGCTTGACTTGGCACGTCAGACTGTGAGGCATGTGTGATATTTGAAAGCTGAGGTGAGGCGGTTGCAGGAGCTGCCGGACAGCATGCCACATTGCCAGCATTAGCCTACCAGTTTGATCCTTTTCGTGCTTTTCCTTGTGCTGTTTTAAACAAATCCAAATCCTTGTGCCAGATGGTAGTGTTTTCCCTTGTTTTGGCAGAGGATTTGGGATCCCAAATTTTGAAGAGCCCGGTTTGTGGGTCGGTTGGTCCAGTCAAGGCAGGAGGTCCTGGAGAAGGAGGCGAAACCCGTCACTGAGACCTCCAACGATCGTCCCATTGGCATAGGAGAGTGCCCTTTGTGGGACATCGGCTGCCAGAACGTGCTCGCCCAGAAGCTCGCAAAGATCACTACCCTTTTGCACCCAGGGCTAAGCTGCTAGTTGTTTCGTTGCCCGAATCGGTGATACTCATGGTTTTTGCAGACCATCCGTTTGACACCTGGTTTTGTTGTGAATGGCTTGGAAGGGGGTGGGAAAGCCCATTGTGTAATAGTGCTCGGAAAGTTAATGGGTGTTTTGCCTACGTCCTAGCTGCGTTTGTGCAGCGCAGACTGCTCCTTGTGTGAAAATTGGGATGTCAATCATGGAGCAGTCTGAAGTGGCTGCGGTTGTTCAGCTTCGCGTGTTTTTGATGTTTGTTTCTCATTCCCAGTTCCCAGTGGCATGATCATTCAACCTGCAGGTTTAGCTTGATTTCTTGAACATGTAATGCGTTTGGAAGAGTCGTGTCGCGACGACTCGCTTAAGGGGCCGATACCTTCAACCATAGACGCCGCTGTATCATTATATATCTCAATACATCACACAACAAGGTTGCGTTCCTTCAGTGCTTTCTGGATTTCTTCGGTTTTGCTCCCGTTTTGTTCCCTTCCCAAAGGAACTTTATCTTCCTGGGGCGGGGCTTCAACTTCCCTGTGGCGCTGGAGGGGGCGATGAAGTGCAAGGAGCTGGCCTACATCCACGCCGAGGGCTACCCAGCCGCGGAGATGAAGCACGGGCCCATCGCCCTCATCGATGAATTCATGCCGGTGGTGGTCGTGTGCCCAAGGGCGGATGCCACCTATGAGAAGATCAAGGCCAACATCGAGGAAGTCAAGGCGAGAAATGGCGCCACTATCGCTATCACTGAGAAGTACAACGATGAGCTGGAGCAGCTTTGCGAATATGCGACTTGGCCTTGAAAGCTGTTTGTCCAATTTGTGCTTAATTTTGGTGTGGCCGTTTTGTGCCACTGCTTTGGCCGTGCTGTTTGGCGGCTGGGGTGATATAGTTTCAAATGCGCCTAGTCACTGGTGCTCAGCAGGAGGTAGGAGACATCACTTCCAGGTGCAATTGGGGTATTCACTCGTTTGTGCCTGTGTTTGATTCATGAAGCAGTTTTCTAGTAAGGTGGGCCTAAGGTGGGTGAGCGGGATTTCTTTGGCGGCAAAGGTCATTGGAGTTCCTGAGACCCATGAGTATTTAATGCCACTCCTGGCAGTCCTTCCTTTGCAACTTTTGGCCTACATCATGGGCGTGTTGCGCGGCAATGCCGTGGATCGCCCACGTGGCCTTGTCAAGACCGTGTCCGAGATGACGGCCGGCAGCAACGGATATGCGACCTCACCGTGAGATTTCTTGAGCCGATTTAGACATCACTGCGAGGCTGGGTTTCTCCAAATCCCTGATTGCAGATGGTTGCGGCTTCCCTTGATGGAAGTGGTGTGCCACAAAGTCCCACCAAGTTGCGGATTAGGATGTTTGAGCAACCCAACCAGGGGCGTCTTTATAGGGCGTGCCTCTGTTGCAGAAGTTGTGACGTGCAGGCACAACCTAGCACAAAGTAGACAGACCTGCGTGGCTCATCAATGCGCCGTGCAAAATAGGCGACGCTTGGGACGACCGGGTGCCAGCCTTCAGGCAATGTGTTCGCTCATGCGTTTCCAATCATAGTTTGACGCTGGGAAGCTTCATGCTGCGGGAGTGAACCCTATTCCAAGGTATTCGCAGCACCGCGAATGGTCAGAGCGAGGACGCGCCATGGCAATTGAGGGCGGAGGCAAACGGTTTTTCCTGCCCACTTCCATTCTGCAGCCCTGACGGCAGTTTGTGCCACAAGCAATTGTTTGGATGTTAATGTTGGACCCTCTTTACACCCCCCCCCCTCGCTAGGAGTGGAACCAGTCAGCTGGACCCTCTTTAAGCAAAATCCTGGGGGTCTGGGAGGGACAGTACTTACTTTCGCATTGCCAATTCTACTTGAGTATTGCCAAGGCTGACTCTCAGATTCCCGGTACTTATTCTACTTTAGTATTGCCAAGGCCCCCTCTCAGATTCCCAGTGCTTGCTTTAGTATTGCCAATTCGACTTTAGGATTGCCAAGGCTGACTCTCAGATTCCCAGCACCTATGTTAACATTGCCAAGTCTACTTTAGTGTTGCCAAGGCTGGCTCTCAGCTTCCCAGTGCTAGACACTCAAGGGGAACCCCAAAACAGTCACATTAAAGAGGATCAGGGACCCTTGTGGGCAACCCCCTTTGTGACTGTTTGCCCGTACTTTTTGTGTAAAGAAGTTATCTTAAATTTGATGATTTGAGAGCCATTGGCAAAACGAACTTCCCAGATCCAAGGCCTTTACTCTTTGAGCTGGGAAGAGCTTGGTAAGTTGGTAAGGTGAACCACCCTAAAAGTAAAAGGCTAAGGCTTGAGTCTAACAATTTCAGCAACCCAAAAAGCCGTTGGACATGAAGGAGGATCAGCGCCCCTTGTGGGCAACCCCCTTTGTGTGACTGTTTGCCCGTACTTGTTTTTTGTAAAGAGGTTATCTTAAATTTGATGGTTTGAGGGGCATTGGCAAAACTAACTTCCTAGATCCAAGGCCTTTACCCTTTGAGCTGGGAAGAGCTTGGTAAGGTGAACCACCCTAAAAGTAAAAGGCTAAGGCTTGAGTCTAATAATTTCAGCAACCCAAAAAGCCGTTGGACATGAAGGAGGATCAGCGCCCCTTGTGGGCAACCCCGTTTGTGTGACTGTTTGCCCGACTTTTTGTGAAGAAGCTATCTTAAATTTGATGGTTTGAGGGCCGTTGTCAAAACGAACTTCCTAGATCCAAGGCCTTTACCCTTTGAGCTGGGAAGAGCTTGGTAAGGTGAACCACCCTAAAAGTAAAAGGCTAAGGCTTGAGTCTAATAAGTTCAGCAACCCAAAAAGCCGTTGGACATGAAGGAGGATCAGCGCCCCTTGTGGGCAACCCCCTTTGTGTGACTGTTTGCCCGTACTTTTTTTTTGTGAAGAAGCTATCTTAAATTTGATGATTTGAGAGCCATTGGCAAAACGAACTTCCCAGATCCAAGGCCTTTACTCTTTGAGCTGGGAAGAGCTTGGTAAGGTGAACCACCCTAAAAGTAAAAGGCTAAGGCTTGAGTCTAACAATTTCAGCAACCCAAAAAGCCGTTGGACATGAAGGAGGATCAGCGCCCCTTGTGGGCAACCCCCTTTGTGTGACTGTTTGCCCGTACTTTTTGTGTAAAGAAGTTATCTTAAGTTTGATGGTTTGAGCAAAACGAACTTCCCAGATCCAAGGCCTTTACTCTTTGAGCTGGGAAGAGCTTGGTAAGGTGAACCACCCTAAAAGTAAAAGGCTAAGGCTTGAGTCTAATAATTTCAGCAACCCAAAAAGCCGTTGGACATGAAGGAGGATCAGCGCCCCTTGTGGGCAACCCCCTTTGTGTGACTGTTTGCCCGTACTTTTCGTGTAAAGAAGTTATCTTAAATTTGATGGTTTGAGGGCCATTGGCAAAACAAACTTCCTAGATCCAAGGCCTTTAGCCTTTGAGCTGGGAAGAGCTGGTAAGGTGAACCACTCTAAAAGTAAAAGGCTAAGGCTTGAGTCTAATAATTTCAGCAACCCAAAAAGCCGTTGGACATGAAGGAGGATCAGCGCCCCTTGTGGGAAATCCCCTTTGTGTGACTGTTTGCCCGTACTTTTTTTTGTAAAGAAGTTATCTTAAATTTGATGGTTTGAGGGCTGTTGGCAAAACAAACTTCCTAGATCCAAGGCCTTTAGCCTTTGAGCTGGGAAGAGGTTGGTAAGGTGAACCACCCTAAAAGTAAAAGGCTAAGGCTTGAGTCTAATAATTTCAGCAACCCAAAAAGCCGTTGGACATGAAGGAGGATCAGCGCCCCTTTTGGACAACCCCCTTTGTGTGACTGTTTGCCCATACTTTTTTTTGGTAAAGAAGTTATCTTAAATTTGATGGTTTGAGGGCCATTGGCAAAACGAACTTCCTAGATCCAAGGCCTTTAGCCTTTGAGCTGGGAAGAGCTTGGTAAGGTGAACCACCCTAAAAGTAAAAGGCTAAGGCTTGAGTCTAACAATTTCAGCAACCCAAGAAGCCGTTGGACATGAAGGAGGATCAGCGCCCCTTGTGGGCAACCCCCTTTGTGTGACTGGTTGCGCGCGCTTTTTCGTAGCGATGTTATCCTAGACTTGGGACTACTTTTAAAAAATATCCTTATGTTTGCCCGGATGCATTTTCCTCTTGTTTGTTGCTCGACTTCTTTGCCAAGTTTGTTTGGCCCATATGTTTCTATTTATTTATTTATTTGTTTTTAGGAGTCTTTGTCCAGCCAAGCCAGACAAGATCAGATGGTTTTTTTTCCCGTGGACACATGCTGCAATTGAGGCCCCCAAAACAGTCACAAGATCCTGAATTGCGACTAATAAAGGAGGTGTAACATCATGGAGCAGTGTTTTTCGTCTAGCAACGGCACGCGCATTTGTAGTGCATTCAGGCTGCAACTTGCGGACCTGTAGGCAAAGTAGTCAGAAAAGGCGTTCCTTCTTCATAGGCCCTGCCAAGCAACTGAGCAGCAGATTAATTAGCAGATTCAATGCGTCACAGCCGTCACAGCACCGGATGCACACTGCAAGGTGCCCTTGGGTTGAAAGTTGACACCCGCCCTCGAAGTCCGAATGCTATTCACGGCCTTCACATGCATAGACTGGTAAACATAAGCATCCCATCGCCATGTCATCAGCAGGCTCTCGGCACTTGATGTGGGGATGTTGCCAGATGCCCAGCTTCCTGTGACAAGCCCGGCCAGGAGCCAGAGGGCTTGGAGCTGCTGGTGCTGGATGGCCACAGCCCGCCCCTGGGCCCAGTCAGCAGTCGGTGGATGCGAACAAAGTACATGCGGAGTGTTCAACGCGTGCAAGATCGCATGTTGATTCACCTCAATTTTGGATGCGATGAGGTGCAACTGCGTAAGGCTCCCCAAAGGCTTGTTTAGCCGCTCACGCTTTCCTGATTGTGCAATAGCGCGCATGAAGTTTACATGGACAGCGCGAGCCCAAAGGCAAATGTCTCTGAGTACCTTGATTGAAATCCAGGGCAATCCACACTTGAACCTTCTGCATTCCAGAAATGCATTTGACCCCTGGTTCGCTGAGGACATCACCCCTGGCTGGTGAAATGCATGTTCCTTCAGCCGTGAGGCCAGGAAGCCGTTGCTTGAAAGGCAAGCGCTCACGCCCCGCTTTGGCCGCAAGTCGCCAGGTCCTCTTTGCGGAGGCATGCGGCGCAGCAGCAGAATAGATGCTTGGCTGAGCTGGAGCTGAACAGGCCAACAATTGTAATACACGTGTTTAGTCTTCTGCTAGAATCGCACTGAAGCGGAATCAAGCCTGGGATGTTCTCAACCGGACATGACGCTTCTGTTAGACCCGTTGTGTTCAGAGGAATCCCCAGGTGCTCTTCAGGCCTGTGATGTTCAGCATGACCTGGTGAGTTTTCTTGTCGCGCCATTGGCCAAATTGCGTGGCAGCAAGATTCTCAACAGAGCATCCAGAAATCACCCGCCATCAGAACTTAGCCAGCCGCTCACATCATTGCTGACGCGGGTAAACAAAAATTCAAGCGCACTCACCGACTTGATTGTTGGTTTACTGCAGGCCGTTTTTTTCTGCATGGGTCGAATTTGCAGCTCTACATGAGTGCCCCCAAGACGCGGCCCCAGGGAACTGCAATTTTTGGGCTTCACCGTCTCAGGTTTGGAGGAATGGTCCCGGCGACATGAGAGGCTTCGAAAGCAGGCCAGGTGGGATAGAGCCTGGGGAATCACATCTAATTACATGTGGCGGATACCGAAGTGTTGAGGCAAAATGCAAGAAGTGATAGATGGTCTCTTTCCATGTTTTTGCTTTCTGTTGATGCAGGTGGTTCCATGAAGGTTGGTGCAAAACTTGCCGTTGGACTGGCAAAACGCCAGCCCATCAGCTATACTTCAAGCCACTTCTCTCCCGTCAAGACTCTGTCGTGATACACCGAGGTTCTTTTCTTGCACCGTGCTATCGAAGAAAAACCTGATGGCCTCTTGTGCCTTGCATCCAACGATGCACTGGTCTTGTTGGAGTGTGTTTTTCTATGAGCAGCGTGCATTTTGCTTGTGGGAGCACCTGTGCTCCAAATGATGGGCCGGACACCTGCGCAACTCCGCTGCTTGAGGATGTTCTTCGTGTTCTTTGCCTGCTGACACAGTCGACTCCCAAAATATGTAAATTTGGCAAGGCGCAGAGGAACCCTCTTATTTACCACAAGTTCCCAGAGTTTCATGGTTGGATATGGCCCACTTGACGTTTACCTCTAACAGGGACTCCGCTGCTTCATTAGGCGTACCGGCGAATGCAAGCTCTGCTGGTCGGCGCTGAGCGGCGGCCTTCCCTAGCTTCCCTAGGCGGGGCTGCCCGCATTGAGTGAGCTCGCAAATATTCAATGATGCAATGCCTTTAAGATTGTTGTATGCATATGTGCGTTTGAACAGATCTCTAGATATACAGTATATCTCTATCTATACACTTAATAATGTTGAATTTGTTGGGTTCTGGGCATGTTTGGGCATGCACCACGCAACTTTGCCAATTTGCAGGGGTTCCATCGGCAGCTGTTTGCAGGAGCTTTTGTTGTTGCCATTGCTTGAGATGCGCATATGAAACTTGCGCAGAACCGTGCTTTGGGTTTGCCCGGCTAGCTGTGAGACACAGAACAAACAGACAACAACAATACAACGTCCGACAAACCAACAGCAAGACGATGAAAGCAGCGCAACACCAGCAGCAGCAACGACAGCAACCAGAACCACAGCCACGGAGTAATGACGCAACAGCAAAGGCAGCTTGCCTTCTTGACCTAGAGGGGCAAAGACCATGATTATGCCCTCGAGCCACTTGACATCAGTCGACACCTCAACCTGCAATGCCATATGACACTACCAGCCACAGGTCAGCTTCAAGAAGCTTCAGACGGCCGAGTTCCCTCCTTAAGCCACACGGCTGGAACAAGCGGATGCGCATTAGGATGGGGTGGCAGTTTGTCAATTGGCCAGAGAAACCGGTGAAGCCAAGAAAAAGTGTGAGCACAAGAGGCCTGGCATCTATGATGGTAATAGCACTGCTCAGAAACGTGATGATGTCATGTCACTACGTCACCCGAGTGGCAAGTCCCCTAGTTGTGCATGTGGGACTCCCCATCCCGAACCGCTGAGTGATGCAAGGGGTTCCTGCTTACAAAGTACCGGAGCTCTTTTGCTTCATCGTGTACATTGGTTCGGAGGCAGTTTGCTAGGTGCTTCTTGCTGCTGGATATTTGCATTGCATGTTGGCAAGCAGGGTGAGTGAGGTGACTTCCCGGACTTGCCAGACACACCAAATGCGAGCGCGATGAAGGAGAGCAAACCCTGCCGGCGTGCTGTTGTCCTTTGTCACCGCGAGACTGTACAATTGCAAGTTGCAATCAATGACGTGCGCCTCCTGTGAGACAGCGAGCTGCTGGGATCATGTTGGCACCAGATCAATGACCCGGCCTCACGTAGGAAGGTCAACCAGGCCCAGAAAGATGGCAAAGTGTTTCCCAAAAACACACTGTCATCACAACAACCTTGCTAATGCATTTCATGAGCTTGTTTATGCTTCCCAAGAATTTAAACTCTAGTGTTAATTTGGTATGCGAGTTGAATCGGTGTTTGGGAATGCAAAGAAGCAAAGATGGGCCGAACCTGAAACGGGGCCAAATGTGGTTTCCAAGTTAGGTATGGTTGCATCATTCCAGTACTTATTTGCCCTGACTATTGAGGATGTTTTTTATTTGAGGCGAAGATTGAGCACATGATAGCCCTGTTTTGCAGGACATTGGGGAGACGGGCGGCACTCCTGAGGTCGTGTTGCTTGGCTGAAACGATGCAGAAGAGCCCATTGCAAAGCTTATGAAGACACATGCTGGTGTCTCAAAATTCAGCACCGCGTTTTTGCGTGGCGTTCGCAGGGAAAGCGTGCGAAACCTAGCCAATTGTTTGGATCCCAATTCGTACACTTCATCTGGCGCCATGGCGAGGCATCAGGAAACGGCGCCTCAGCGGAGGACGACGTTCTTCCCCACCAAGGGGATGGAGTGGAGCAGGCGAGGCAGGCGAGTCTGAGGTCTGGAAAGGCACTAGGAAGAGGAAAAGGGTCGATTGATGGAATTGATTGCTTTGATTCGAAACTGTCTCCGATTGTCCAAGTCCCGAAACGTTCCGAAACAGTGTTCTCTCATTCCCTTGCCGTTTGGACAAGGGACAAGTGACAAGTGCTCCATCGCCCAAATGGCACAGGTGTATTTTCGTGGTGCTCGATGACCCCGAAGCCTTCCTGATTGGAAAGGTGACTTGACAATGCGCGAGGAGGGGGCACTTTAGATCAGACATTTGACCAGCGTGAATTGCAGTCGCTTTGTTGTGCTTGTGGCTGCTGCTGTCATTGATTCAGGCAGTGACAGTTGCGTTTTGTGCTGGAGTTAGCCATTCCAGTGCAGAAAATGTCCGGCTGTTGCCACTGACCTCTCAAAGCTTCAGCGAGGTCATTTCGGCCTTCATCATCACTGCCATCCTGGTCAGCACGGCCACCTTCATCCTAGAGTGACCTGGGCAGCATCAATCCTTTCCAGCGAGCGCAGCCTGCGGTTGAAGCCACAAGGAGCCAAGATGGATTTCAGTTCAGTTCGCCCACCAACTGCAAACACTAGTGATGCCTTCAGGTTTGGGACAACGATTAAAAGGCTGAAAGTCATGCAGTGGTTTCCCCACTTATGCGTTTAAGGTTCGTTTCCTGGAATTTTGGGCATTTGCAGCACCGCTTGACAGTAGGCTAATCTGTTGATCTTGAGGCTGAGGTAGACGCACAACTATCATGCAAACGCTGACTCCGGCAGTGGCATTTGCAGTGTCATTGGCTGTTTGGTGATGGGTTTCAATGGGGAGCACACTCGAACATGGTTGGAGATAGCTCACGAATGTTAGCGACGTCTGCCACAGGGTCCCCAATTGGAAGTTACTCCCATGTAGCCGCTGATTCTGAAGCCAATTTTGGCATTGGATAGTCACACGCTGATCGCATTCGTGCAGCAAGAACATCCAACGCTTGCTTGACCCTTTGCGGTTTGCTGTTTCCTATTTTCTTATTTCCAAGAGGACAAGGAGCCCCTCATTGGATTCACACGTAGCACCAGTTGGAACCCACCTGAACAACCCATGCCCTCTTTGGACTCCCTATCAGGCGCCATGTCAGTAATTGGGAGGGTAGGGGCTGCGTCTTTTTTTGTTGCAGCTAGTCTTTTCAGGAGGTCGTATATAGTACATTTTGGCCGCGAGCTTCGAACCAACAATCGGCCAGCAGGCTGTGGAGGTACAACATTCCAGTACTTTCACTGTGCGGCACAGACTGCACATATCCATACGGATATGTGATATGTAGTTGTTGTGAACGTATCAGACGAGTCCCCTGAACCGAAGACGAAGACAGAGGTCCATGCCTGGCTTCCAACAGCGGCCCGGGCTTTGCGATGAACTGCTGGCGGCCCACGAGCCAATTACCAAAGAAGCCTGCGAGCCGGTGCCGCACGGATGGGCATGTGCGTACGTGCCGCATAATCCACAAAATGGGTGTTTTTTGGAATCCCCTTTCAGGGAACCCGACGCATTCAGATTGGCTTGGCGGATCCTGTTTGGTATCAACAACTTGGCAATTGTCCTTTTGGTTTTCCTTAGAACCGCAAAAAAGGAAGGGGTACCTCAAAAAGTGTCACACTCGGGTGAAATCCAATGGAGCAACTGGAAGTTTGCAACTTGGCCGGGCCGAAGGCTCCGGACTCCTGTTCCCCAATGATTCCCATGCATTTTATCGGTGTCCAACTACCTGAGGCGCGGTGTAACCATTTCAACTCATGGGTGTTCCAACATGTTCCGACCATGAAATAGGCACCCGCCACGACCCTTCTAACCGCCCCAATTCAAGAGAAAACATGCCGTTCTCACGAGTCTTGCTTTCAAAATCACGGACTGAGGGGGGGGAGTAGCACCGCTCAAGCAGCTCGTTGGTTCACCCGAAGCGTCGCGTTTGATTTCTTCGCTGAGTCGGTGGCCCCCGGCTGATTTGTGATTGATCTTTTTTGGGGGGGCGACATGAATGAGTGGTTTGAGCACCTGTTAGTTTTTGAGATTCCTTGGCAGCATTCCTTGGGTGAGTTGATTTGCCATGTGAGGGGGGCATGTTGATGGTGTGGCATGAAGAGCAAGGCCCGTGATCGAAAGTCCTCAAAATCAAAGCGCATTCCTGATTTGGCGCCCCCCGCGGTCTGCCAGGCTTTCTGGACAGTTAGCACAAGGGGCCCGCAAGTTTAGATTGCATCAAGGTCTGAGTAAGCACCCGGACGTCCTTGCGTAAGAAGTCTGCATGAACACAGCACAGATTCTGTGTGCCAGATGAGGAACCCACACATTCCATAAAAAGTGAGGCAAGTGGATGTTGCACGGTAAAGGCCTTGCTGGGCTTTATGTATCCGCAGGTGCCTGACCCTAGTTTCTACTACCTGGAGGTAGCATCATGGCTGGCACTAGGTGGAAGTTCCGTTTCGCCATTCTGCACGGGTGGGCACAACACGTCACCTTGCAGTCATGCTGGCTGTTATGCTGGCTTCGAGCCTCGGGTGTTACTCCCGCAAAGCTAGAGAACACCCTGAGAACACCCTTGAACACAACCCCGGGAGATTCTTTCGCAGATTCATTTGGGCCTTTGCTAGCCAGCATTGCTAGCTTTGGGAAGGCACACGTGAGGATGGTGCTTAGAATTCTTGAGCCAGTTCATGTGGGGACGCCGCTTACGCCCTGACATGTTGCAAGGTATGCATCAGTATCTTCACCTTGGAGTACTTGGCAGTGGCCTCAGTGCAACTCACATGTGCCCACCATGGCACGTGAGCTGAAGCAGAGAATCGGTCAACCCCGGATTCGGATTGCCCCATCTCCCCCTGAAAAGGTGACAAAGCTTCAAAGAGTGCCTGGGCTCTCCGCTCGGCTGAACCCCTCATGGAATCAGGTTCGACTGCTCACCTGCCACTCCGACCCGAGCTTGGGCCCTACGCCATTGACTCGGACGCTGCGCTATGCCAGGACCAGCTTTCCCTGGGGCCTCTTTCATATCCCCTTACTCACGAGGGACATCATGCACAACCACAACCAAGAAAGATGAAACCGCAGAGGTTGCCAGCCCAGCAACAGGTTCAGAGTGATATTTAATGGGTTGAGGCTGGTGTCAGCAGTCTTGAGTGCATTGTGGCCTTCAGGGCGTCAGGTCATATTCTTTGCCCTGCTTCTCAGTCCGTTTTTCTCCCGCCCTATAACTAACATGGCTCCTGACAAGGGGCGCCTTTAAGAGGCCATTGATCCTGCCGGTGCGCACCCACAGGTGCAATGTCTGTTGGACAACGCCCTGCAGCAGTTGGTCTGTGGCTTCTCCCAGTATGCAAAGGGTTCCATTTCAACCGGTTCAAGATTCTGTCCATCCGCGGTATTTAGTGGGAGGAAGCCTCATTCCTTGTTGCAACCCGGAAGGATGCCGTTGAACATCATCGATGTGCTGGCGAGCTGCCTGGAGATGGCCGACCCATTTGGAGCCCCCTTTTGGATGGTGTTTCAAGGGACCGCCAAAGGAAAGCAGCCATATGAGAGCCGCACCAAGCATTTTGGGAGACTGCCATTTGTTTCTTTGAGACTGGCCAACACCTCATAGGGGTTGACGGTTGGCAAGGCTCGAAGGGCTTCCAGAGTTTGCTTGGCAATATGCGAGCGTGCTCCACTTTGATAGATGACCTCCCCGGAGTAATTGCTCGTGTTGAGTGTGGCCAACCTTCTGCACATGCACACAAAAGGGAGCCGGCAGCTGACCCGGTCCAAATGGAAGGAAGAATTGAAGAATTGAACACCAACAGAAAATCGAAGAATCCCTCAAAATGATCCCTTGAGGAGCCCAGATTGACCAAGTGGCAAGAAGAAGCACAAAAATGAATCGCGTGCAAGGGTGCCAGTCACGTCAGCCGTTTAGCGAGAAGCATTCCGCACCAGCCTATTCTCTGAGGATCCCATGCCAGCCACCGCGTCCAATACCTTCAACAGAAGCCCGCCGCGGCCATTCCCAGCTGTTGCTACATGGTCCTGTCAAGGGGTTGATTCCACATACGCGGAGCAAAACTCAACACCCTTAATTTGCCACCTTGACGCTTTCGCAAAGCTTGGATCAGCTTGGTTCTTTCGGATGGATGGCCACTCTTCAAGGCCGTGGCTCCGTTTTACCTTGGCTTCGCTCTGGCCTCGGTGAGCTCCTTGCGAGTGCTGCGCCTGGCACGAGCTTCTTGGTAGCCAAAGGGGGGGAAGAAGTCGCCTGGCTTTGGCACCCAATACCCAACATGTGTTTTTTTTCTGGGTGGGTTCCACATGAAAAAAGTGTCGAACTCCAAGAGTTGGCCTCAATTTTTTTCCAGGATTTGGCTCGGTGGATACGTGATATATGGTATGAGTTTTCCCATGCATGTTACGTGTTAATCAACACAGGCAGGGACCCACAATTGGGTTGGGAGGATGGGGCACGCCGGGTTTGAGCTTTGAAGGCCTTTTCCATGGGGACTTGCTAAACTTTGTTGGAGGGCACCCTCTTTTTTCCGTTGGCTGACAAACCTATGCTCATTGTTGAGACACATGCGGCTCGGGTTGTGAAGATGAAATGTTCGGGTGTACTTGCAACCCCCTCAGCTAAGCAAAGGTTCAAGTTTGCCGCATACCCGAGCCGTTTACCCCCTTGCAGACTGACATGGAACAGCAAGTAATTACAGGGTTGCAGGGCGGGGAGGATCTGCCGTAGCTTGTTGTGAACCTCTCGGCTTGTGCCTCCTCCGCATCACCGCGGAGGCCGCAAGTGTCAAGTTGCCAAGTCGCGCAGGAAATTATGATTTCTAGTGGAGTTGAGGGCAGTATTTGCCAGGGGCCGCTTCAAGAGCATGGTAGATTTCACAATACGTCCTTGCAGGGCACTTGGAGGCATCGCATGTTTGGGGGCAGGGCGCAAGAATTGAGACACGAACAAGCCGAGTTCGGGCTTGGTTGCGAAGGCAGTTGACTGCAATGCTGTAACATGGTGTTGAACTTTACTAGCTCATTGAGCTCATGTCGTTATCACGTCTGAATTCATTACAATCTGCAGTCACAGAAGTGCTTTTGTGTGGCGCTTCGTACCTGGGGGCATGATGGATTTGGGCTGAGGATGTGGCTTGTTGCGGTTGAGCTGTGGTATCATTCGAGGGGTGTCGTCCTTGCGGCTTGATAAAAAAAATCCGCGGCCTCCATATAGGACTTTGGCACAGACGCCCCCAATGGCGACATCATTCACGGGTGCTACAGCGCTCAATCGGCCTCGCAATAGACTGTCGTGCTGGCTTCACTGCAGGTGGTCCGACTCTTCAAGCTGGCCAAGCACCATGCAGGCGCACTCAAATCTTTCGATGTGCGTTGTGATCAAAGTGGCGAAGTGGCCTTGGAGTTTGTGTGGATCGGTGCAAAACCTGAATGTGGACAGCAGCGCCCGCTTTCATGCAGTCTGGCCATTGGTATTTGCAATTTCAGGAGTGCGGCCTCAGATCTTGGAAGCACTGCTTGCCAAACGGCCTTGATTTTGGATGGGCAAATGTGCATGGGCTCTTCCACCCATGATCCCCAATATCCAGACCTGAATCACCAAGCTACCATGAGCAACAGCCGTGCTTGCCTCCACTGGAAGGTATTCGCCTTTGCCTGGAAGCCATGAACAGAAGCGGTCTCACCTTGGCGATCCTGATGCCCAGCTCTCAGTAAGATTATGCACTTACAGGAAAGGCAGTGTACAGCACTTGAGCCTGCGTGTTCCTCTTCTGCATTGGCAGGTTCTTCAACGTGATCGTTGGCATCATTTTCGCCTGTGCAGCTTGAGCAGAATATTAGCGTGTTGGAGAGCGATTGTGTTGTTCAAAGCCGAGCTCCTTGTGGAAGCAGCAGAGGTCATCTTCTTCATCGAGGGCCAGAATTTCTCAGCCGGGAGCTTTGACTCTGTTGACCGCATGTCCGCCCAAAGGCAACAATCGTGGTGTCAATGGACCGGCTGCCTTGGGGTAACCGACGAATCTCGTAGACCTTGGCTTGCCTGCACATAGCAAAACGCAGTGTGTTTGTGGTAAGGTGGATCCAAAATTTACTCGGCCCACCGTGGATGCGCTCAACAATACCGTCACCTGGCACTAGGGGCGGGCCTGGTGCAATGAGACTTTGCATTTGCTTTTTAAACACGCATGGGATACCCGTACACTACGACCACCCCGCGTGAACTCCGCGAAACCTGAATGCAATTTGGGAATGATTTCGCGAAACCTGTTCGGAAAATCTTCTCTTCTCTTTTGGGTTGGCGGAAGGGTGTGCGTGTGGGCCGCGCCCCGCAATTTTTACATCAGTTTTGTTGGTGCCGGAGTTTGAGCTTACCGCCCAGGTTTCCCAGTTGTTCAGTCAGAGATTCGTGGCCCGAGCAGGTTCCAGCACCGCATCCATATGGTGTATTCGTGCGGAAGGATGCGCAGGCACGGCTGAGTTCGTGAGCTTTGCAAAGAATTGTTCCACCCGCTCGGGCACCAGAAGTGCAGCAAAGCGTTTGATCATACAAGCTCTGTAGTGCCACGGGTTTGGGTAAAGTCTGACCACTTCTCTTTGTGTTTCAAGTGGTTTGCGTATGTGTAGCGTTCGCGCCTGCTTTCAGAAGTTTCTCATATGCTTATGCCCTCGAGGGCGAGTATGACGTGGAGACACCGTTCCGTTCCATTCCTATCTCGCTCTGGTGGGTCTTCACAACCATGACGACCGTGGGCGACTTGCTGGCACTCAGAACTGTTCACTGCTGGGGGCGGGGGCCATGCACTCACGGAGTGTTGCACATGGCGGCGGTTTCGATCAGTTTCGCTGTTTGCATTTCTGGCCTTGTAACATTGCTATTCACATGTTAGTGTCAATTCTATTTTCGGAACGAACTCAAACCTGCTGGGAGAAGGTATAGTGCGCGGCTGTTTGAAAATCGTGCGGCAGACGCAGCTTAAGACCACTTTGCCCAGTTTGGCCCTTTCGAGACGCACTTGCCAACCCAGTACGTAAGCATGTTGGAGCAGGACTTTGAAGGCATCAGGCATCCCCCATGTTTAGCTGGCATCGCAGATTGCGGCAGGGCATCTGCGTGTCACTCTAGACTCTAGACGGTTGCTCGGGTTTTGGGCTGTGGCAGGCCGGCAGACTTACAAAAGTTATCCAACCCGCATGGCATTGTGTTGGTGTGTGTGTTGCTGTATGTTCAGACAGACAGACAGACAGACAGACAGACAGACAGACAGACAGACAGACAGACAGACAGACAGACAGACAGACAGACAGACAGACAGACACACACACACACACACACACACCAACACACACCAACACACACCAACACACACCAACACACACCAATCTGTGTGTGTGTGTGTCTGTGTGTGTGTCTGTGTGTGTTTGTCTGTCTGTCTGTCTGTCTGTCTTCTGTCTGTCTGTCTGTCTGTCTGTCTGTCTGTCTGTTTGTTTGTTTGTTAGTTAGTTTGTCTGTGTGTGTGTGTGTCTGTGTCTGTGTGTGTGTGTGTGTGTGTGTGTGTGTGTGTTTGTGTGTGTGTGTGTCTCTGTGTGTCTCTGTGTGTCTCTGTGTGTCTGTGTGTGTCCGTGTGTGTCTGTGTGTGTCTGTGTGTGTGTGTGTGTCTGTGTGTGTGTCTGTGTGTGTGTGTGTGTGTGTCTGTGCGTGTGTGTGTGTGTGTGTGTGTGTGTGTGTGTGTGTGTGTGTGTGTGTGTGTGTGTGTGTGTGTGTGTGTGTGTGTGTGTGTGTGTGTGTGTGTGTGTGTGTGTGTGTGTGTGTGTTTGTGGTGTGTCTGTGTGTGTCTGTGTGTGTGTGTGTCTGTGTGTGTGTCTGTGTGTGTTTGTGCTTGTTCTTGTGTTTGTGGTTGCGGTTGCGTGTTTGTGTTTGTGTTTGTGTTAGTCCTTGTGTTTGTGCTTGTGTTTGTGTGTGTGTGTGTTTGAGGGTGCCCTTTGTGCGGTTGAAAGGGGGAACACCAAAAGGCACTACTGGTTCCCAATTTTGGAGACAAGCCCATATTGTGTGCCCACGCCGATGCGCCGAACCTGACACAGGGTCGCTTGAAAAAGGACTTCCCTCAGGTTCCATGAAGGGGCACGAGAATCCATGAAGCCCATACTGGTTTCCAATGTGCACGGGCAAATTAGACCGGTCAGGATGGTGATCAATTTGCATGAAGGGTACATGTTATTTAGTGCTGCGCTTTGTTTGTGAAGGCGCGATGGGACACCCTGCAGCCCCCTTTCAGACACCCACGTCGTACCTCCAGATTATCCTGGCACTGCAGAAGTTCCATACTTCATCAGCTGGAACAAATGCCGGGCCAAGAACAGGAGGATGTTTCCCAAAATGGGGGCGCCGGAACTGGAAAGGTTCCTTTGGCTTTCGCGTCACCCATCTAAAAGGGGTCGGCTGTTACGAAAATTGCCCGTATTTGTTGCGTGCTTCGCCGCATTGGACAGCGGACTGGCAAGAGTGCTTGATTCTATGGCTCAGGCTATGGTGACATGGTTCCGACCACAATATTAGGCGCGGAAAGTTTGGGAGGTTTAATTGCTCTCTCCCTGTAGGGCACGTTGCTTGCTTGGTGTTTACCAATGGTTTCTTGAATTTGGCAAACTCCGTTGTGTTTGGCTGTCCTGGCACTTCAGCATTTTTTCTTCCAGCCAGCTCAGCCAGTGCTTATTTTCATGTGTTGCATTTGCATATTCATTCAGTTTTGCATGCCATAGTGTTATTGGAACTTTGGTTGTCGCAGTGCTTCAGCTAGATTTTATTAATTGTGCAGTGTGGGATGCCTACATGATCCTGGAAACCTTTGGCCAGGCTCATGTTTTGCTTCCTGTCACTAGGATTCTTCCTGTAGGATCTCGCCCACCGCTTCCGGGTTCTGTTCTTGCCACCTTCGATTCTCCTACTTCTTTTGCTGCTGCTCTGCTGTTCCTGCAGCTGGTCTTGCTGCTGTTCCTGCTGCGGTCCTGCTGCGGTCCTGCTGCTGCTGCTGCTGCTGCTGAAGCTGCTGTTGCAGCTTCTGCTCCCACTGTTGTTTTTGCTGTCCCTTTTTGCTGCGTTCCATATTTTTTGCTTTGCTGCCGCCGTTTCTTTGCTACCGTGGCGCTCCCACAATTCCACTGTGATTTAGCTAGTTGCAGTGACCGGCCTTCGCGGCCTTCCGCAATCGAAACAAACGCATTTGCGGAATGGACTAAAGTTGGTGCGTGTGCCGGATTGAAGCCAACCCAGCTTTCGAGAAGCATGTTCCCTTGAAGTTTCGCACTCAAAGCCGTGTGTGTGTGTGTGGTACTTTTCCGGCAACATGGGTGTTTCTTCGCTGTAGGCTCGGTGGGATGTGCAAGAAATGCGTCGACTTTCACTTCTACCCGTTTCGCAGCGTGCCCATTGTGCTGTGAGACTTTTGTGGGACTTGTGCAAAAGCCACCGCTTACAACAAATAGTTGTTTCGATCCATCATGCGCACTGGCTGCTTCAGACATAGATGTTGGCAACATGGGTCGTGCTTTGGCGTGTGCCGATAAGGTTTCGGCAAAGCACCGATTCCATGTGGGCATGCCAACTTCTTGCTGATAGAGCGTGTCCATGCAGTGTGTCGACTTTGCGCGACTCAATGGGTCTTGGGCGCTGCTTGTTTGTTATCTTTTCCAACCTCAGATTTGACTTTGGCCTTTCCCTCTCTCAATCCAGTGAATGATGCCAGCCCCTTCCTTCAGCAGTCCCTCACTGAGCCTTATCCGGCGATGCGAGGCAAGATTGTGGGTGTGCTGTGCTTTTACTGTGGCGCTTCTTGGCTGCACTGCCCACGGCAGGATCGGGGAAGTCCGTTTCTCGTGCGGGAGGTGGGGGGCTGGGAGAAGGAGACTGTTAGATGTGATGGTTCCTGGAAAGGTATGGTACATCCGATTGGCTTTTTTGCCCTGGGCTTTGCCAACTCTTCCTGCAGACAAGGGCATGGGCCGATGCGGCCCTCACAGAGCAAGAGGGAGTTGCCAAGCTTCGCAACCAGCTCAAGACATTGCCAGGTTCCTCGGGTGTCCGAATATCCAGGGCCAATTGCCTATTTGCCAGGGCCACGCCAAGTTTGTCGTGCTGCTAACGGCTTTCCGTAGCTCAGGTCATCCTCCTGGCGCTTCCGATTGGTGTCCTGAGCTGCTCGGCGGTTGCATCTCAGCCTTGGGCGCCTTATCGTTTTTCAAGTGGGACTCTGAGATGACGCCAGCTTCATTTTAGAATGGTTGAGCCATGTTAGGCCCCAAAGTAGTGAGACGGCTCGTTAACGAGTTAATGCTTTGCTAGTACCAGTGGTTCTAAATGTGTTGCTAGTAATGCTGCGACGACATTTGCTTGGATGTTAAGGCGGAAGGCTCTGCAAAAAGGCACAAGGCTCTGCAAAACCATGAGGCAATGCTAGTACTCAGGCGAACAATCTCGGTCAGTTGCATTCTTCTGTAGCTGTTTGTGTTGGCGTTGGCGGTGGAAAGCTGGATCCGGTCAGCCCTGGAAGCAAGCGTCAGGTTCCAACTTTGAGAGCGCGTATTCTCAAGCTCGGGGGCGCCGCGGTTGCAACTGGCACTTGGGAGCCTTTGCTTTTGTCCAGCGTCGAACCCAACTTCAGTCCGGGCCATGCAAAGCTTTTCCGCTTGCATTCGCAAGGTTCAGCTGGGATTAAATAAGACATTGGCCAACTTTAGGCCAGCTGAACAGATCAGCAGAGTGCAATTTCGCAGAAGCCGTGGGTTCCCTCAGTCCTATTCATTTATAGGATTGAGGATCCTCGCACCAGCACCATGTCCACATTTTATGTGTGTGTGTGTGTGTGTGTGTGTGTGTTCCCCCCCCGCCCCTCAGGATGACCACTCGAACCAGTCGGAGAACCAGCAGATCCATGCATCTCAGTCTGAACCGTGAACCTCGCTGTTTGCTCCTGTGGGGAAGTCGATTGACTTGGTCGGTGGGATGGTTGTTCTTGCTCCTATGAATGGATGTCCTGGACATTTGCTCTGCATGCTCTTGAGGATCCTCGCGAGGGTTCATCCGTCGCTGATTGGCACTTCGACGCTTTGAAACCCGCAGTTTGGATGGACGCAGCTTCAAACGCCAGCTGAGCTTTTTGGGCCTAGAAAGTCGCGCACGTTTCGTCCAAGGATGAGTATGGGTCATGCAACTTGCCTGCAAGTAGCATTTTAGATGCGGAATCCAAACATATCCAAACCACAAACCCTTGAACGTCACACGGTTGCATAAAGCTGCGCGTGTTCGTTGTGTGAATGCGGCACTGTGCCCGCACTGTCAATGAAGGCAATTTGGAGGCAGTTCTGTGATTGAATTGGCGCAGGGCGAGCAATCCTTGCATTGCGAGGCCATCACCACCAGGGAGAGCCGATGGTTTCCAGAGACAAAGTCATGGGCTGTAATGCAACTTGGCTGGCAAGTCTTCAAACTCTGCAGGGCCTGCTGCCAATTCAATTGGGGTGTCTTCGTGCGAGTGACCTTTCTTCTGCACTTCTTTTAAGGGACTTAGCTTCTCACCAGGAATGAGTTTGGAGCATGGGGGCGAGACCCTGAAAGGCCCTGCCGGGAACACCTAGTGTTCCCCTCCACAATGCCACGCAAAGTCTGGGTCACCATGTCGACGTGTCAGGATCTTTGCCCTTCTCAGCGATCCGGGCTCCAGCCGCGCTGCCAAGCTGGCGCCTTGCCCGAGTGTTTTTTTTTTTGGGGGGGATTTGAATTTGTGGTGGCCACAGGAAAAATCCCGAAACGGCATGAAGGGGCCACTTTAGTAAAGGCTATCCAGGAAAGGTGGATCTGGATCATGGGATTCGACCTTTACAGTTCAGATTTTTGGGTTGCGCCAAGATGTTGATATTGGATGGCAGCCATCACGGCCAGCACCTTTGTAAGTGAACTTTACCCTTATCCCTCAAGAGGACCCTAGAGGCCTCCCATTCCTTGGCTGATGGGCTGTTGAGGCCAGTTGATTCGTTGGAACCGCTTGCCGACTGCTGCCAAGGTGTCCTGGTTTGTGACCGCCGTGATTCTGGTAACTACTGCTACTTGGCTCTTTTTTTTGGGCGCCACGATTCGTTGCATGAATGGCCCTAGAAGGTTGACTTTGTGAAAGAAGGAGCTGCTGGTCCTTCTTATTTGGTGTCCGCCAAAAGAAATTGAAGCTGCCTGTATTGTCTCGACTTGGACGCGGCATACTGCAGTAAAACAATCAAAGAATCATTCCTCCGTGCAGCGGTTTTGGAGCATTGATTCAAAACCGTAAGCCAGACATCCACGGCCCAGAGACACCCATTCGAGCACACAGGAGTCATACCCTATCTTTTGCCTAGAACTTCGTCAAGTGCGTGGAGCCAGATGATGTGTCGTGTTCATTCTTGCTTCAGCTTTTTGAGGGGGGCGGGAAGGCCCCAGATGTAGCAGGTCCAGAGGGCCAGAACTGAACTGCGACTTGCTCCTGCAATTGGAACCTCAATGCCAAGTATGTGGGCGGCCCATGTGCATGCCTACATAGGTCAATCAAATATATAAAGCGGGGCCAGGGCAAGGATTTCGCGAATACCAACAAGTGGGATTAACCTCACTTCCAGTAGCCACTCTTAGCTGGTGGAGCCTTGCTGACCAAATCTTGCAGCAGACGTTTGGCCAAGGTCAGCATGCTGCTGGAGTCCATGCCAGCTTTCAGTTCCAGACCGGCTGAGTGCAAGCTATGGCCAGAGCCACTCGGCATGTCTCAAGGGCAGTGGGGCAGCTGGCACCTAGGGAAAAAAGAACCAGGAAACCTTTGCGTCAAATGTTGGCCAGAATCAAAAGCGCAGCATAGATTGAGATGCTGTTTAAAACACCTTGTTGCTTTCTAAATGGGCAGCGTCACTTAGCCACAGTTCACATTTGTGAATCTAATCAGGTGGCGGTTTGATTTTTGCTGCCCTGCCTCTTTTCTGCCCGTTAGCAGAACTACCAAAGCCAGCAGCCGTGCCAGCTTTCGCGACAGGCAAAATGGACATCCCTGGATCACACGGACACAGTTGGGTTGCATGGCGTGGCTACCGAGGATCACTTTAGAGGATTGTCGCCCGCGGCCTGGCCGCTTGGCAAAGCCTTGGAACTGCAGGGTCAGCCACTGCGACTCCCAATGCCTTGAACATCTTGGAACCCAGATCGGCTCACTTGTCTCGCTGAAAAGAGGCTGGCACAGGGCCCCAAAGATTCGGGGTGGCAAACAGGCAGCCCCAGCCGCATTCACAGATGCGCTTGGAATCGTTGCGCGAAGCCTTCATACAGATTGACGGCCTGAACCGGTTCATTCTCCCAAGAAGACGCACCTCCCAGGGTGCTATTGCCATGACCGCAGAGAGGTCCTGCCTTTGAGTACGTGGAGGCCGTCTGCATCATCATATTCACCATCGAGTATGCCACTTTTCGGCATACGCACCAAGGTAGCTTGCAGCGAGTCAATCAATCATAACTCATGACCATGAAACGATGGGATAATTTGCGTCCCGAATCTGCAAAGCACGACAAATTGAACCGAAGGCCAATAGATGACTTGTAATGAATTGGTTATGATGGCTTCATGCCTTGCCCAGGTGCTCCGGGTACTTCTGGCCTTGGGCTTAGCTGTCCAGGGGCACGCACTTCGTACAGATTGCTCAACAGCATGGTTCGCACCTCGACCGACCTGAAACCGTGACATCACCAGCCCCGGTCCTGGCAAGGTGCACCGGGTGTCTCCCAGAGAGGCTGGCCTTACAGACAGCAAGGCTGCGCAGGGGCTGGACCGGGGGGGGGGAGGGCAAGGGGGCAAGGAGTACTTTCTTGAGGCGGTTCTTGCCTCAGGTGCACCCCAACACTGGTTGATTAGATTTCTTTCTGACTTCCCTGGAACATAGAACGCTCATCACAAAAAGGGGCCGAATCTCGGACACTGCCGGTGCCGGGTGGGCGGAAGCCAAGGCGCGGCAGATATGAAAGATAGATGTTTTCCATGTATCGCATGTGTTGAGGCGAGCTGAATCACAGGCAGCTGGTTGCAATACATTCCAACTCACTTCAATTGGGCATGGCGTTGAACAAAAAGGACACGAAAGGGGGCGGTTCCGGGAAGTCAAGCAACCTGTCAAGTGGCACAGTAGATGCCAAGGGTTGGTAGTGAGCGCGGATGAGCCTCGCTGATGTGGGCAGTGCGCATGAAGCCTGCCTACAATGTTTGAAAGAAAATATGTTCAACCCACACCCTGCAAACCTTGTGAACAACGGGACTGAAACATCATTGTTGGCTTCAAGCCAAAGGGCAAGCTGTGTGTGCTGGTCTCCGCAGGCTGGCCCACTGAAGGTAACTATGGGTTATGCTGCCTGGCCGCATTGCTTTGCCCCAGTCAATTCAAAGCACAGAACGACCATGTTGTTTCTTTTTACTAGTTTACTTCGCCTTGCCTGCCCCAGCTGGCATTTGTGGCTATGGAGCCAAGTGATGCAGTGGCGCTGCGCAATGGACAGGTTCTGGCCTTGGACCAGTGGATGTCAAGGGCCGAAGTTGCGCTGGCAAGCCGCGCTGGCCCAGCAGCACTCTTTAGTTTCTACCACCGCTAGCCACAGCGACAACAAGCAACATGTTCGGCACTCATGTCTCGACAGCCCAAACCCTGGACTGAACTGGCTGCCAGGTGGGAAGGCAGGAGATAAAGAGTCCTGGTGAGCAGGAGATATGCTTTTTGCAAAGGCCCAAAACGAATTGCAGCCAAACTCCTGCTTGGAAGGTATTTAATTTCCATTTGGACTTTCTAACCAAGAGTTCCACTTCAATCCGAATGAAAGTGCAACTTACATCGCAAAGCCTGCAAAAATCATGCTGCGAACCAATAGGCCTGAAGTTGCGGCTGCGCTAGATTTCTATTTGTTCTTCCCCTTTTTAGAGCCTGGCAAGTTGCCAGACGACGGGGGAAGACTGATGCTATGCAGTGGCCAGAAAACGGAAAAACCCAGAGTCCTCCAGACTCCACAAAAAGAACCTTGAGCCAGAAAAACCAGAACACCAGAGTCCTCCACAGAAAGGGTGGACATCTGTCTCAGGGGCTCTGACTTCTGAAGTTGGCTTTTTTGCTTTTTCTTCATGGGCTCCCGTTTTAAGGGTTACGGGTCTGGGGGTCAGGAGTTGGCCCACGCTCGTGCGTTTGACGCTTTAGAGACGTGACGTGACGGTACGGTTTTTGTTGTGCAGGCGCTGCGCGGTGTTTGGGAAGGCTGCGCGTCCGCGTCGCTGCGCCATTGTGATTCGATGGTCGCTTTGGGGCGACATGTGTGGTGTCATGTTCGGTGGCTGTGCCGTAGAGTCCGCCACTTCGGTGAGCTTCAAGTTTGCTTGGCACGCAGATTCCGTGGCAGGCGTGGTTGGCGCAGATTTCGTGGCAGGCGCGGCGCTTTGGAGCTTGGCGCGCAGTTTGCGTGGCAGGCGCAGCACTTTGGAGCTTGTTGGCCGATGTTCTTGGAGTGACTGCGGGGGGCGTCTTTGGAAGGTGTCGTTCGGGGGTGTCTGCAGGCATCCTCGGGTTTGCGCATGGGGTTTGTCATCGTGGATATCTGCAGACCATTGTTCGGAATACGTCCTGGGGGGAGGGATCAAACAAACTTGCCTTAGGGACAATAAAAACGCCGCACTAAAAGGGAAGCTGCGCCCTGTATCAGATAACCCTTAGCCCGTGGTTTGGATTGGCGGCTTTGGGATTTGAATCCCTGGCTTTTGTAGAGGGTAAATGGGAAACCCTTCCCTAACCGCTGACCGTATAGCTCGTACCTGGCTGATACGGTTGTTTTGTGCTTGCTCTGCTCAGAGGGGGGGGGCGCTAAAAAGTTTGTTCCTAAACACCAGGGGCAACTTACTAGGCATCTGCATCAAGCAGTAACTTCTCGGGCACCAGCTTAAACCCACCCTCCAAACGAAGCAGCCCCCAGCCATGCCCGACAAGCTTGATTTTGAAGCCTAACAAGTTTTTGTTTGATGCCTAGGTGGGTTTTGGGCGGGTTTGGTCGAAGCAAAAAAAACCAGCCATGCCCGAGAAGTTTGATGATGCCTGGCAAGTCTTTTGTCGATGCCGCAATTTCCTCCTTTTTTTAACTATTAACTGTGCTTTGCAGCAACATGGCACCGAATGAGTTGTTTTTGATGCCTCATGAGTTGTTTATTCATCTCTTTGATGCTTAACTGTTTATTTGGTGGATTGTTTTTGGAGGCCGTCGTTGCGTTGTGTCTTTCAGGGTGAACTTGGGGATGTCTTTGGAGAATTGCCTTTGGAACATGTTTTTGAGCATCTCTTCTGGGATGTGTCCCGCGGACTTTCTAGTAACGTCTTGGGAGATGTCTTTGGGGCTGACTTTGGGGTTATGTTGGGGCGCTTGCGGGGGTGTCTTCGGATACACTGTTGGACATGTCGTTGGGAATGCCGTGTTCGTGAGAGTATCTTTGGGGATGGTTTTGGTTGAGGGCTATTTTATTGGACTGTTTTTTGTTGCGGGGGGATGCTCTTGGGGTCGCGCATGTCTGCATTCGGGTTCGTGGCCTCAATCAGGTTTCTGGTTTTTTGAGCAAAGACGAGTATGGATGCACATAAAAATTAGCTCACAAGGGAAGAACCACCAAGGCTTTGCAGTGGCTCAACTTGGTGGACTTCTTTGCGATCGCTCCATACTACGTTTCTCTCAGACACTTGGCAGACACAGCACGTAGACAGAACCGAGATGTCAGTGCCATGCGCGTAGGTGTTGTTGAAGGCGGGCTCGGTTTGTTTGTCCACCAGCAATTTATGCAGGGTATTCCCCATTGAGATTTGTGCCCATTCGGCTGAACAGCATAGTTTCTTTGCTGCCTCCACAGGTCCAAAAATCTAACTCGGCGCTGGGCAGTTTCCGATTTCGTGTTGCAGGGAGAGAAACATGATGCAAGTTTCCCAGGCGGCTTGTACCAGGGCAGCACAGCAGCCGTGCGTGTCCTGCGCCTGGTTCGCGTGTGTCTGAGCTGAATTGGGAGCCTTGAGGCCACCTGCAGCTTGCTCGCACACAAACCGCCTCATGGGGACTTTGCGTCATGGGAGTATGGGTGGGCCAGAGGTGGCAGGCCAATCAAACGGTAATGCTGGATAGTGTAGGAGAAGTCTTTTGCATCAATCTGAACAGTGTGTGTGATTGGTCTGGTGGCCGTGGTACTGTGAGAAGACAGGCAGCTCTGCCCCCTAGACCTATGCAAGCAGGGTAGTTGAAGCCTTTGCATGAACATGCACCGACAAAAACATACAGCAAATTTTGGCAGCAAAACTCCGCTATAGGCCGCTGCATTTTGATTGAAAGCACACTATCCGCGAGTGAGGGCAACTTGAGCCCAGGTTCCGTCTGCTGAAATCCCCGCGGCTTCGGGATGGCCCGGCGCTTGGCACGGCATGATAGCAGGGCGCATGGATTTCCCACGTGAGCCAATTGAAATTCATTGTAGCACCCAGCTGGAGCTGGGCAAGTGATGGGTTGATGAAAGCAATGTGGGGACCTGCGCTGGGCCATGGCCGGAAGGAAAGAAAGTCTTTGAAGAAACTCGCCCGCTTTGGGACGGCGTCCTGCCCGAGGTGTGGATATGATCATCAACATCGTGGGGCCGGGCTGGCCATTGTGAGCTGCCAAGGGTTGCAGGGGCGCATCAGATCCCGAGATAGAAGCAGTTTACTAAGAAATCTATCGCCCTTTGGCTCATAAGTCGGCGGGCGCTTGGATGAACTCGAAAATTTGAGCATCGTTGCTAATAGGGAAGGCCGCGGTTGATCTAGATGCTGAGGAATCCAGTGCATCGTGTTGTTGGTGAGTGGTCAGAAACACATGTACATTTAGTGAGCGGTTAGATTTGCACTGTCTTGCCATGTTCCTAGTCACTCAGATGTTGAAGCACCAGTTTGGGTCTACACCTTCGGCCTGGCAGGGACTCCCTGCCTGGCATCCTCTCGGTCTTCTCCTTGACCAGCATCGTGTGTATTCTCTTCTCGTCCTGTCTGTGGATTTGCGAGGGCACGTGCTTGGCCTGCAAGCAGCGGACAGTCATTAACCGGTGCGGAGGTTGCTAGCGCAAGAATCGAGGTTTCGGACATGGCTGGATGCTGACAACTATTTCATGCGGTTTCACGCGATTACAGGGCCAACTGAATATAGGACTTGCGGACCCGCTAGCATCAGCAGCCCCTTGCTTTGGTCACAACCTGCGGGTTGCGTTCGAAACTGTGCATTGGCTTCCTCGGCTGATGTGGCGCACGATTTACCTGGATTGATTTGGTGCCAGAAGCATCCCGTTGCCACTCAGGGAGTACTCCGTGACCTTTGACCCCGAGAACTACCCACGTGGAGTCTACGTTCGGCCTACGAGCCTTGAATAGAGAGTGACCGCGGTTTGCTTTGGCTTTTGGGTCAGTTCGTTAGAACATTGAGGCTGGAAAGGTTTTATCCCTCCCAGGCAGCTGACTGGCTGAAGGGGTGGGGGTATGTGACAATGTGGGAGTCAGGTTGCGGGTATGCATGATGCGCATAGTGGTGTTGTTCCGGAAGCCAAGCAGGTGCGCATGAACTCACATTAAGTCGCAGGCCCACACTGATGTCCAGTCATGTCTTGAAACTATGTTTGTCAAGGAGGGAACTCAAAAACGAAGCGGCGATGAATTGACAGGGGCACGATCACACAAGAACTCCTTGTACTTAGTTACTTGTATGAAGGCTTTTCCCTTGGCGGGCAAGCCGCTGGCCTTTTGAGCTGCTACACAGCATGCTTGCACAGGCGCCATGGCTATGGTTTCCTGGCTGCAAGGGGTTGCCGTTTCTGAAGCCGGGAGGAGAGCTACAGGGCGTTGGGTCCCACTGTCCCACTCTGGAAACTTGCAGGTAGGGAGGAGGTGGCGCCCCATGATCGACCAGGGGAGGGGCTGTTCGTAAAAAATCCGTGCAGCTTGTCGTTGCACCTTGGGATGAATGATGGTTGATTGTTTGCAACTCTCCGTGAAGTGAAAGAAGGATAACATACTCAAGAGAGGCGTCCAAGTGATGGCAACGGCATCCGAGGGGCTCGACGTGATTTGATTCAGTCCATCCGCTTTTGCAGGTGTGGAGCCGACACCCTTCACATCCATCACTCACTGCTTTTGGTGGTTTTTCGTCACGGCGACTTGGAAAGATACTTGTGTTGCACCACGGCTGCTTGCAGAGGCAGCTTGCATGTGTGTGAAATAGGGTTTGCAACATGATCATAACATTCGAGGGTGTTGAGGCAATTTCGTGGAAGGCAGAGTTGCAATTGGCTGATGAGAACGGACATGCTGAAGTGAGTCAAGCTCCGGTGCAAGCAGCTTTGTGCAGAAATGCTGCTGTCCCAACCCAGTCGCGCAAGCAACCCAAGCAACCCAAGCAACCCTGAAACAACCACAGCCACAGGAAAGTTCGGCGGAAGGTGTGGAAGCTTTGCATGGCCACCGCATGTTGTTCCCGATTGCTCTGCGTAGGAGCAGGTGTACCGGGCTTGGATTGCCCGCATTGCTCGTTTCCCAGCTGCAAGAACAATATGCCTACTTGCCACTCCACTTTGTAGGATGAACATAATCTAGCAGCCGGAAGAGAGCGGCCAGGCATACAACAGACTACATGCTTGCGCAAAGCTTACCAGAGTGGAAGCAAGACACGTATGCACGAAGGCGTGGAAGCACGGAATGACTGAAGTGTCCAAAGCATGGAAAAGCTTGCGAGGAAGACAGGAGGCACTTTGAAGCACATGAGGTTCGCTCAAGGACTGTGACGCGCGGAATCTACATTGAAGGTGTCACAGGACAAGCGCACATGAAATGACACACTCATTTGCATGTGGGTGCGTGTGTGAAATTTGGCATCGTATTCACTGGCCAAACTCTTGACACCTGTGCTGTTTCCAAAGAACCCCTCCCGCCCCCTTCCCACCGTGGGAGATACACGGGCACGCAGATCATACATGAAGGCATGCGCAGAGATGCAGCATGCACACGCACCAGCACCAGCACCAGTGCACGCACGCAGGCACGCGCGGGTGCTCGCACCGCACTCGCACTGGCGCACATTGCATGTATGTATATAATAATATGTGTATATATATATGTGCGTGTGTACCTTACATGACATTTTGCCATGCACGAAAGCGCATGGAACGCCTGAAGCTGAGCATCGCCTTTGCAAGAGACTGCCCCCTGGCTGTGAAAGTAAGCACTGAAGTGTGATTATATACTCAGTTTCACGCATGTCACGTTTCATCAAGCAGTATTGCGTGCATCATTTCGCACTCATACGCGAAAATGCATGCCATCAAACACAGAAGCACGAACGGAGCATGCGAAGTTGCCAAGCTGGTTCGGGTTTTCCCTGCCAGTGCGTAGCAAGGCGCTTGGAATGGACTGGTTGCTATTTCTTACTATTGTGCCTGAGGCGACGACCGTGGGCTATGGTGCCATGGCAGCATAGTCAGTTAAAACAATTTGACTGCTCGCCATCATTTGTGCACAATGCCAACACGCATGACCATCATGGTCCGGAATATGTGTTGGAGAGGGTGCGCATGAGGGTTTCCGTCGAGGTAAGGTTTGCTTGTGTCTCTCCGTTACTCTTGTGTTTCTACCACGCTTCAAGCCGGTTTGTGGCATCTTTAGCCAGAAGGGAACGCTGGGGATGGGACTCTGCTGGCTTACCACGCTCAGGAGACGAGTTTCCAACCACCACACTGGGTAGATTGACGGCCGTGGGGACATTCTACGCTGGAGCCTCAGACTGGGAATGTCTACGCGTCGCATCACGATGCTTGCAACTGCCAACTTTTCTAGGCTGGTATCGTGCTGGTGGCCATCAAGCTGACCATCGTAGGCACGGCAATCTGATGGCATGATCAACGTCAGAATTGTTCTTTCACTGAAGTTTCTTTGATCGGTTTCTTCATGCACGCGTAGAAGACTTCAGCTGTTCAGATGTCAGCCTACTACTTAGCCCTGATTCCTCAGGGCCGCATGTCCCAAAGAGAGGGCGAGACAGAGACAGAGAGACAGCGAGAGCGAGAGCGAGAGCGAGAGCGAGAGAGAGAGAGAGAGAGAGAGAGAGAGAGAGAGAGAGAGAGAGGGCGAGGGAGGGAGAGTTAGGGAGGGATAGAGACGGAGAAACGGATGGACGGATGGATGGTTTGACGGGCAGGCACGATTTTAATGAGTTGGGGTGTCGACGAACAATGTAGAAAGAAAAGCGCATGAGTTCACAGAGTCGTGATGAGGAGCCTTTTATTGAGGCCGAGTCATTGTCAGGCCGGGCGTTAAAGCGGCGCTTCCCGCAGTACCAGGCTCGCTGGGGGCTAATGAAGAAGGTGCCCCGGTGATTCCAGTTGCTCAGGGGAGGTCCATTTTGCCAGTTGACTCCCTCACGCCGCACCCTTTGTTTCCCATGCCTGGTGGGCAGCTGAGCGTGCCGATGCCAAACAGGTTGCTCAGCAGGAAGGAAGCAGTGCACTTTGTATGTTGGCATGCTGCACGTGTTTAACCACCGGGCTTGCACTCCTTTGCATAACCCCCCGCCAGATCGGAATTCCTTGATGCCTCTCAAACTTCAGTTTGAAACACAGTGAATCAGGGTACCACTCTACGAGCCCCGAGCATTTTCCCAATCAAGCGGCACTCTGAACCAACTCCTTTGGCTTGTGCTTGCAGGCGCAGTGAGCCGGCTTACGATGCAGCTTTCGCGTTTGGGCCGAGCGCCTCGTACTTTACAGGCTTCAGACGCATGTTAAGGCCAACCGGGAGAGAGATCAGACAAGAGAGAGATCCCCGCGCTTTGCGCGGCTGGTTCTGTTTCATTAGCCTGCATAGAATGGACTGAGTCTCGAGGCCTGAGGCAGAAGCTGCATGTCTCAAGGCGCAGGTTTGAACGCGGCCCAGGTTGACACCACACCCTCCCAAAGGCCCTAACTTCCTAACTTACTCCGAAGCAACAAGCGTTTAAGCATTTCTAGCATAGCAATCGTCCACCCCACGTGGAATTGTTGTTTGATCCCCCCGGATACGTCTTTTGGTTGATGCGGGTGAATCCTTTTTGGTTCATCATCATTCTTGCTGGACCCCCACCAGCACAACTCCACAGAGGCAATCTACGATATTTTCTCGTCGGGGGGATGCATTCTCCTCAGCTTGAATGTCTGGGAAGAGGCACGGGTCTTCGGAATTGACATCACTGACCCTTTGGTGGACATCATTGACAGGGATTCACGTCCAGCAACCTCATGAAAAAACAACCTGGCAAAGCCGCTGAATGTGATGAAGGATCAAGTCCTTCCGCGGATGCGCAGTGGCAGTTGGACCCCTTTTGACGCTGCTTGCCTTGGGGCCGGCCTAAGGCCCCCCTCGGCAGTGCCGTTTTTTGAAGGGGTCAGAGAAAAAGGGCGTGTTGACTGGCAACCGGTGGCATGGCATAAAGAGAGCTTGTTTTGTTTCGGTTCGTTCCAGGGGAGTGCAAGGGGCACCCTGCCACGTGTTTTAGTGCCAGCGTGCCTTCAATCTTCAAGTGGATGTGGGGAGGGGGACCAACTCCTTCGGGTCCGTTGCATAATTGGATGGTGCTTTAAGCATAGTTAAGCATTGAATAAAATGAAATAAAAACGAGTAACTTGATTGTAAATGAAGGGGCTGAACCTGGCTTACTGGCTTCCGCTGCTTGGCCTGACTGGTTCCGAGGTTGCAGGACTTGGATCAGTTAGCGCCGTTAGCGCGTGCAGATTCTTACTGTCTGAAATTGCAATCGCATGTGTTGGGGGACGGTCCAAGGTGCGAGGTCTCAGACTGTGAAGATGTCTTGGGTGCAGATCCTGCCTGGAAAGCAATCACCTTGAACTTCTCTTTGTGATGCTTCTTCAGGGAGAGATCCCTCGAGGAGCGCTTCGGACTAGGATGTTTGGGGCCGGTTGCCCATGCCAGGACGCAACCCGAGAGGAGGCGCGTTGCCCCCGCACATTGAAGCATTTCTTATTTCCCGTTGTTTTTGTTACAGCTATTAGCAAGCTGCGGGAATCGGTGCAGTGGTGTCGCGTCAAGGCTCATGTGCCAACATGATCCAACAGATCACGGACATCCTCAGCTTTGGTGATAGGTGTAGCTCGGTTTGTCAGGAGTGGACACCGGTAGAAGAGCCCACCACCCAGCCAAGCTTGGCACCCAGCTAGAGGCTAGGGGCGTCAGCATTGAAGCCTTGAGCCTGAATTTGTCGCTCGCCTAGTCATGTGGCTTGTTTGAAAAGTTTTGTACTCAGATGGCATGCTCAGGTCCTACAACACCAACCTCCGCTGCAGCAGCGAGGAGGAACGTGTGTCCCATGGAGGGTGCTTCACAAGATGTGTTGGATAATATTGTCCACCATCATTCCATGGATTTGCACGGCGCATGCCTCCAGAAGCCCGTTGTTTTGTGGCAGCCCTTTGTTTCCTGGCTAGTTCAACCTGAACATGAGCCAAAAGGGGCTTGCGATTTGTCCAATGAAGCAATGTTGGAGCTGCCACTTTTGAGAAGCTCAGCGATTTTGCCCACAGGCGACGCCTTGCTGCCGAGCGTGCAGGCCCGAACCTGAGGCGGTGACTGGGTGGACCTTGAGCCAGAATCATCGGATTTGAGCCACCCTATGATGCTGCTTGTTTTGTTTACGCAGGTTTTTGCTTTTATGTTTTTGCTTTGGAAGGATCAAACATTGCAGCGTCTCATCCTTGCGCAAAAGAAGGGTTCTCTCTTCAATGCTGCTATGTTTGTGTGGGAAATGCAACGCCCCCTGGGCCGCAAAAGATCCAGGTGCTAAGCGAATCTTCACTTTTACAGCCCAGAAAGGGAACACACCTATTTGCAGCTGAGGATGGAGATAAAGAAAAACAGCGGTTCCACCGATGTATCCAACAATTCGAGGATGGCAGTCACCTCCGCCCAGAGATTCTAACAAACTTAGATGCTGGGCGGGGTTCGCCAAATCTTGACCTGGGCTTAGAGACCCCTGCCCTGTCCACGACCAGAAAGCTAACAGCGGCGATAGAAAGATGGAAGGGAAAGGGGCGCAGCTTTTTCCTGCATTTCAGCAAGACGGTTTGGCCAATCTGGCGGTAAAGTTAGATTGGCATTCATGTATGTTTTTGACGTGATTTGCAAGGCAGCTCAGACTTCCCAACATTGGCCTGCCTCACTCCTGGCAGGGCCTGCTGTTTCTAACTGTATCTCCTGATTTGTCGTGAGCAAGTCGCAATGATCCACTCGGCCGAGGCCGATTTGGTGATGCGTGCGGTGCCCAGTGGCTCTGGCAAGAGCCTTTTGCCAAGACTTTTCTCATCCGACAGCTTCTGACCGCTTTCTCTACTCTGACGCATCAGCGTTTCGATCCGGAAACTTCAGCACCTTGTATGTACTGTATGCATGGAAAGCCGTTGGCCAGGTGGCTATGACATCCAGGCTCCGCTTTCCAGTGGTGCTTTGCAGTGTCATTGGGGCTGGGCATCTTGGTCATTGAGCTCAAGCTGGTCAGTGGCCCCAAATGAAATCGCGGGACAGTTGCCTGGCAGACAACGCAAGGCACAATCAATCAAATTACACCAGCATAGACCCCAGATAGCACACCCCGGCTACGAACCATGACGCAGCATCATAATGGTTCCCGCGGCATGATGATGATGTTGACAGCATCTTGATGATGATGATGACAGCGTCATGAAAACACCACAGCTACTCAGCATAGTGCGCTACATAGACGCGCAGACAACGCCCGAGTGAGTTCATCAGCAAAACGATGATGTTGACAGGATGATGCTGATGCACCAGCCACGAACGATTCCTCGCTACATATCTAGCAGAAAAAGGGCAGAGACGACTTCCTGGTGAGTTCGACAGCATCATGATGATGCGGACAGCATCATGATGATGCTCACAGCATCATGGTGATGGCAAAGGCAGCACCCGCCCTAGCACCCTGCCATCCATATGCGCCCGCACCATCACAAACACCCGAAAACAGCAGCCCTAATAGCACCCCAACGCAGCACCCGCGCCAGCACCGGACACGTCCCCGAGCACCCTGCCGTCACGTACTGTCACGAGCACCTGGACCGAACAGCGCCCACAACCGCACCTGCGCCAGCACCCCAAAGTGCATGCCCCCTAGCTCCCAGCCGTCGACTTGCAAAACAATGTCCCTTCTTCATTAGAAGTTAGAACCTGTATGGTTTCCAGTTATCTGGGAAATAAGCCCACGCGGTCAGCAGCACCTCCAACAGCAACACAAACAGCACCTGCACCACCACCCCAAACTGCATGCCATCTAGCACCGGCCGGCAATCTCCGAAAATTGCGCCCACAACGTCAGCAGCACCTCAAACAGCGCCCCAAACAGTACCCCAAAACAGCTGCATCAGCTCCCCAAACTGCATGCGACCATCAATATTGCAAGAATGCGCCTGCACCATCACCAGCACCACCCCAAACTGAGTGCCCCCCCGCTGTCCATCAGCGCTTTAAAACAGCACAATCAGCACCGCAAACTGCGTGCCCTCTAGCACCCGGCCGTCAATCTCGCAAAACAGCACCTCCACCAACACTCCAAACTACATGCCCCCTATCTCGCAAAGCGGCACCTCTACCAGCACCCGAAACTGCATGACCCCTAGCACCCGGCCGTCAATTTCGCAAAACAGCACCTCCACCAACACTCCAAACTACATGCCGCCTATCTTGCAAGGCGGCACCTCCACCATCACCCAAAATTGCAGGCCCCCTAGCACCCAGCCGTCAATTTGGCAAAGCGGCACCTTTACCAGCGCCCGAAACTGCATGCCCCCCAGCACCCCGCCGTCAATCTCGCAAAACAGCACCTCCACCAGCACCCCAAACTACATGACCCCTAGCACTTGGCCGTCAGGCTCGCAAAACAGCACCTCCACCAGCACTCCAAACTGCATGCCCCCTAGCACCCGGCCGTCAACCTCGCAAAGCGGCACCTCCACCAGCGCCCGAAACTGCATGCCCTCTAGCACCCGGCTGTCAATCTCGCCAAACAGCACCTCCACCAGCACCCCAAACTACATGACCCCCAGCACCCGGCCGTCAATCTTGCAGAACAGCACCTCCACCAGCACCCCAAACTGCATGCCCCCTAGCACCCGTGCGTCAATCTCGCAAAACAGCACCTCCACCACCAGCACCCCAAACGACATGACCCCTAGCACTTGGCCGTCAATCTCGCAACACAGCACCTCCACCAACACCCCAAACTGCATCCCCCTAGCACCCGGCCGTCAAGCTCAAACTGCATGCCCCGCAGCACCCGGCCCTCAATCTCGCAAATCACTTCCCTTCTTTAATAGAAGTTAGAACCCCTATAGCTTTCAGCTATCTGGGGAAACATAATAGTTCAACAACGCTCAGGGGTCAAACATGATCAAACCGTGGCTGTTGACACATTTTCGTGTTTTTTGTGTTTCCTCAAAGTTTGCTGAGTGTTGGCCGTTCTGTTGTCAAGTTGCGTGTTGACTGGCGTTCTAGACTTCATTGCGCCGCCGAGTCCTGTGTTAGGGGTCTGTGCGTTTGAACTGCTTATTTGTGAGTAGCTGACGCTTCCTGGTTTTCAAGCAAAGAAATACGTCGCGCCGCACCCGTTATGAGAACAGTGTTGCTTACAGTGCTGTTGTCCGCTTTCTTGAGGACCTGGGATCTTGGTGACCCATCACTGGGGGAGTCACCTTGCCGAGA